TGACATGAGTCAGCCCATTTACAATTCTACTATGCTTGAACGAGAAATGTCCCTTCTTTGGGAATGGCCTAAGACACTTCAGTCAGTGGGCAACCAGTTGAATGTTCAGACTGGTTTGTACGTATTACTTTTTCATCTCTAAATCTGACCAACACGTTGAGGTACGCTATTTTTAGACAAAAGTCACCTGCGGGTTACGTTGTAACTTCTTGCAGATTTTGGTTTTGTGAATGCAAATACACACACTCGTTTGTTTGGATTTTTTTGTGGTTTTTTTTTTTTTTTTTTGAGGGTGGGGATGTCTTTTGTTGTTTTTGTTTTGTTTTTGTTTTTTATTTTTGCAATTGTTAATAAATATTGTAATGGTACCATTTTCCCGTATTAGTTTCATAATATGCATGTTTTTATGTTAAGGCATATAAAGTTATGGATAATAAAAGACAATTATAATTTTTAATGGATCCTTTTTCTTTTTTAAATCATCGTCGTCGTCGTCGAAAGAAAGAAAGAAAGAAAGATGAGTCACTCCAATTTCTATTCCTTCCATCAGGATCCAAAGCACTTTCATAAATTATCAGCCTGCTTGTGGTTGTTATTGTTACTTTTCATTCGTCCCGTGATTCGGTCGCTTTTAAGGACAAACGGGCTAACCCAGTTTTCGGGGGTTTCCAGAAATCTTGACCAACACTAAAAGTGGGCATTGCCCTACCTATAGGGAAAGTTTGGTTTCATTGCTGTATATATTTATTGTTTGGTTATATAGAAAACTCTCCTTGTCTTTTAAAAAAATGAACAAAGGGCAAAAACTTTACCTTCGATTTTCTCAAAACAGCCATTTTCGGGATAGCCCCCTTGTGCTTAAAAGCGACAATTTCTTGTTGTGTATTGACATTTATTGAAAAAAAAATCTTTGAGAAGCTACTCAAATTGATACGATGGAGAAAAAAAATAGATCTGCTTCAGTTTACTTGTTTGTGTGTTTGCTTGTCTGTTTGTTAATTTGTTTGTTTGTTTGTCAGTTTGTTTATTTGTTTGCATGTCTGTTTGGATTTGGTTGTTGTTGTTTTTGGGGGGAAGGGAGATGTCTGAAAGGGGGGGAGGTGTTGTTTGTTATTAACTTTTGAGGGGAGGGGTGTTTATAATGTTGTTTCATTTTTTGGTTTGTAAATAAAATACGTTCCTTATACTTTTAGCATTCTTGCTCTCTATTCTCAATCAATAACCTCAGAAAATACATCTGAATTTGTGAGGCATCGTGGAGTAAACAGGCGCTCGTCAAAATAAGGAAATCGAAGCGTTAACTACCTGTCCCCGTCGTTTTATGCAAGAAAATTCTGAAATTATGCAAACTGAGCCCAAAAATTTGAAATTATGCGATTCTGTTAATTTTAACAAAGAATGATAAAGGAAAATAATCTGAAATTATGCAAAAAATGATCAAATTTTGCTAAATTAAGCAGGGTGCATAAAACCACGGGGACAGAACTACACAGAAATAAAAAAACTATTATAAATACACTATTTAAAGCACCCCAGACACCAGATGGCTACTATGAGCTGTCCCGCCAATAACAAGTGATTATCTTCAGACTAAGGAC